GCCAGCATTCTGAGCTCTCATCAGAAGAACCCATATGTACTGTATGAATGTAGAATATGTTAAAGCTATCAGACAATAATTCAGATTCAAACCTCAAACAATAGAGAATACAATCAAGAAGCATAAGTTAGATACGAAAGAGATTCAAGGAAGGGACTCACAGGTTGAATATACAGTGGTTTAATTTATAGCACCTCTACACAATATATAGAAAAAGATAGAAGCAGCTACTGGAAAGAAAATTACCTACAAAAGAAATCCCACTATATATGGACTACTGCAGAATGATAGAGTCCAACGATCCAATGTGCATTCCAGGTGTACACAAAATACCATTAAAGGACAGTAGGATTGAGCAAGACCTGTACTATATTGGCACTACTAGTTGATCATTAACATCAAGGATTAAAGAACACAAGGACAGCATCTGGAAGGCTAAAATTTTGTAATGCAAATTGTTCCAGAGGACAGCTTTCATTCTTATTTTTAAATTGAAAGTTTTTATCCTAAGGAAAAGTGTTAAAAACAACCAAAAACATTTGAAAAAGTGAAATTGGCACTGCATTTAAAGGTTTGTTGTAGCTTATGATGAATGCAGTTTTACTAAATAGTGGTTTTACAGGCTTTTTTTTTAAATTTTACTATTCAAGGCAATGTTTTTAGTGATATTTTCCTGTGTTTTTTTATGTTTGAGATAAATGGATAAAAATGAATTCTCATTTCCTAATTGATTTCATTTTAAAGCATTTATGAAAATACACATAAGTACCAATAGGCTAATTAAACAGTAACAACATACTTCTTATACACAAAATATTGGTTAAGTGTTAACAAAACAAAATGCATATCCAGTGATTACATTTAATATATTTTTTATTATCATTATTTATTTAATAATTATTAAATTTAATAAGAGATGGCACCTAACACCTCCCTCTAGTGCATATCAAGTTTCTTATTTTATGAAAAATCATGCATGTTAAATCAAATAGTAAAAAATTATTAAATAATGATAGTTATCAAATAAGAACACAAATTTTTCTTTTAATTTCTCATTGTCAAAACAATAATATTTTTAAATCAGTAAAATTAATTTTTCTAAAAATCAACAATTAAATATTGATATGAGAGAGATGTTATTACACATACATTATGCATGCTAAATGACAAACACTAATTCTGCTTGGAAGTTATATCATTATAGATCTCTACATGGTGAGCTGGATGAATGTTCTTTCTTTATTTTCATTATTACATAACAACTTCACTTTAAATAGTGAAATACTGTGTGAACAATAAATACTTTAGAATAATAAACAAACCAAGACTGTTTAGAATCACTAAGTGAAATTGCTACTAGTGCTACCACAAGGTATAGAAAAAAACGTTTACATTTAGTAGTTGCAAAAAATATTCTACACATTATGGAAAAACTTTGAGATTTTTGGGAAAAACTCTGAAATCAGCATTACTATCAATCAGCATTACTATCAATCAGCATAAATCACATCAGTGTAAAATGAGGACAGCCTGTATTTATTTACAACTCTTTGATACATCTGATATTTTTTACCACTTACCATATAGTATTACATAAGATTTTTCAATATGATACATTAGCTGATAAATATTGTATTGTCATAATGTCATAAAAATAATGCTTAAACTTATGACAATACAATAAAAATAAAAGATTCAAATAATTTGATTTCCAAATATAAGTATTAGAATCAGGGCTGTGGAGTTGCATAAAAATCTACCGACTCCAACTCCGACTTTTCCTTACCATTCGACTCCGACTAGGGGCAGACTTGTTACCAAAAGAGACCCGGAAATTCTGATGTCATCACGTGACCTCAGAATAAAACATTCAATAAATAGAGTTCTAATAAAGATAGAGCGTAGAAACTTTTTATTCCAAAGCTAAAAGACTTCTCTAAGTAATATATAAATATGTATTCGATAATTTTTACTTTTCCGGCTGTTATATATAACAGAGGAAAAGTGTAGCGCTCGCTCAAAAAATGACCCCTCCCAAATTTTTACATTTTTGGACTCGGGACACCTTGAAATTTCGAGATATGCAAAAGATTCGAGGTTTTTTCTATATGTGTGGATGTTAGACTGTGTGTGGGGGGCATGATTTCGTTCACCCTGTTTGAAGCCTAATAATTTCTGTGGTCAGAGTGGTCAGAATCGGAGTCAGATGGTTTAACACAGGAGTTAGTTATTAAGCGTCAAAGTGGTTGAACTAAATCATGTCCCCATATACATTCTAACATCTTAGGCGAGAACATCTTAACGGGTTTTACTGTACTATTATAAAATGGCAAAAAAGCTTACTTTGAGGGTAGAGACGAGTTTTATTTTTTTTAATTTTGAACGCTAATAACGAGTAAAATATTCATTAAGAGATATGACACATGACCACTTTTATGTCTTCACCCTGTCGACCTTTAATTAAGAACCAAAATTTAATAGTATTAATGCCCCTTTATACGCAAACTACAGTGCCACATTTCGTTTCTTAAACTTTACCCGTTTTTTCTGTTCTGAGATATTAAACAATATCTCAGAACAGAAAATTGTCCAATTCAGAAGATTTAAATATTCTGAGATCCAATTCCAATGTTATGAAGTAAACAGTACTATTAATAATGTGAGATCCGAATAGCCGCCTGGTCTAAAATAATAATTTAGAAAAATATTCTTTCCTTTTGATGGGAAAATAATGTTTTTCTAGTGTGGGAAAACAGCTAGGAGAGTCACTTCCTTTGACGGAAGTATGAGCATCCTCTGTTTTTCCCTTATCTGCTAAAAATCTCACTTTGATGGAAACGGTTTACCCCTCATTTCTTCCCCCTTCCCATCCGTTCCCGTGGATGAAGCCTCGACTGATAATTGGTCATAAATCAGAAGATGTAGGCGAAGTTCAGCCGAATTTGGGGAGTTCGTCAGAAAATCTCATAGAGGAGAGACGTCTCCCATATTTGTTCCACACAGTCCTTAGGAGTTCGTCGTCAGATCCGAGAGTGACCAGACTCCATACAAGCTCCTAAAGGCCAACGCCCTATGCTATGAGCAAATATAGTACACAAAAGGCTTACTTCCATAGACAAATATTTGTCAGTTAAGTGGATCTCTCCATGAATAGAAGGCAGAGAATTCCAGGAGAGAAGTAAATACGTCACATACAGAGGAAAGGAAGAACAACTAACAGGTTGTATGTTTTAATATGATATTGTGAGCTCTCTCTCTCAACATATATATTTTAAGTCGAATTTATTGTGTCTCATTTATTTGTAACTCCATTTTTGTATAGTTTTTACTTATATATATGTTTATTAAATTCCTTTTATTATTCATTTATATAATGTCTCCTCGAACTCATTCATTTTTTCATTCATTCATTTCATTTTATTAAAATAACATGAGTTACATTTCCTGATTTCGCTGAGCATTATCAGGATTTAAAAACACTAACTAATTATGACAATGAACACAGCATATTAATAAACATTAAGAGTAAAATTGTACAATGATGGGAAGGCAACAAGGATATACAGGTGTAATATATATTTATACAAGTAAAATTTTATGAAAAAATAATATAGTGTAAAATATACAGTAACAATTAAAAGTAACGAAGATAAAATAAAATTAGAATCACAACAATTAAGCGCAAGTTAACAAATTATAAAAGAAGCGAACAGCAGAAGTGCAAAGATATTATAGATGATACATATATAGAAATGAGTATATATACAAACTATAATATATAATAATAAGACAGTATAGTGTAAAGTAGTAATAATCATTTGCACCAAAGTACTTATGTTTCGGCCACAGAAAATCCGCTAGTAGTTGAGCAATGGAAGTTGAACAATGTTCTCAACACCACTGAACTCCGCCAAGCATCTGTGCGTAATATTCCGACATAGTAAGAGCCACCAGAAGTTGAAGGATTGTCTTCACGCTGCATCATTTATATTCACTGGAAGTCTCCTCGATCTCGGAATCAGATCCCTCACGCGTGTTAATCCGCGTATCCAAATTCGGTTAACTGGTGTCGGAATCCTGACGTTGGATAAAGACTTCGCCGTCTATATCCTCTTTAATATTAAAAAGCCCTCCCAGTCACAATCCTAATTAGGATCGGATCATAAGATCCGAAACACAGACTATTCTCACGGAATAGGCCAGTAAGCGGCATGAACTTAGTACTACATCCCTGGCTTCTCACAATAACCAGATTTGTTACAACTATGCCTATTAATAAAGGAAAAGTTGTTTTAATACATATTAAACCAAGACAAACTAAGAAAGTTTATCAATTGTAGTCACAAGGTCAGTAACTATCATACAATTAGATGAGCTTGTTGGAAAGAAATACGTAAACAAGTAAATGAATGCTTGACTTTGTTATTTTATAGCAACATACATCAACCTGATTATATATGTCAAACAAACCCTATTCTATTGGCAATGCCATTAAAAATTAATCATTAAATGGTGACCTAGCTGCCTATCTGTAGTTAAATTGCTTTATATCTAATCATTAAATTATTCATGAATATAAGTTACTTAGATCCAAAAACAATTCGAATGATGATTTTATTACGTAATAAGTTCCAATTATACCATTTATAATTTAACTATATGAATTTCAAAATTCAAAGTTTAATTCAAATATATTTATATTTACGTATCTTAAGTTCTTAAATTCTACAAGTCTCTATAGAAGAAATTTTTAGAATTTCAAGTCAAATTTATTACTCTTATTTTAACAGAACATTTTTCAAATTTTGTTAAAGCATTTTGTTTTTAGTTTTTCATAAAATCCATTTAAAAATTGTTTTATTTAACATGTTATGCAGTAGAAAAATATTTAATTTAGTATGCTATTTCCAATAAACCAGAATTTTCTGTAACAATACTATTTCAACAATTAAAATATGTAACATTACAATCTATTAAATACATAGTTCTGAAAACATTACCTGATCAAGGTCATCATCTAATTCAACATCCAATTTTGCTTTTTCTACTTTAGCTTCCCCTTTTTTTGGCCGGCCTCGACCTCTTTTTGGTGCTTCAGCTACATTCTCAACTTCTGCCATGGTACTTTACTAAAAATGTAATTTATTAAAATCTTCATTCATTTCAAAATAATAATTATCCTAATGACTATCAAATAAACCAGTAATGCCCAAACTATGGCCTTCAGGCCAAATCTGGCCTACCATACATGTTAATTCAGCCCTTTTATACATAAATATGCCTATTTTTGGTGTATATATGGAATATAAAAAAATATCTATGGCCCATTTATCTACAACTTATGCACAATCTGGTCTGCCAATCAAAAAGTTTGGGCACTACTGAAATAAACTATAATTTGTTAAAATGCTAAAACTGCTATAAATGCTATAATATGCAATAAAATTATAACTAATATTTTTATTTGATCCCATTTCATACATTTTTCTATTTATTGTCAGATATTATTCACTTTTAAAAAACTTTTTAGATTATATTTAATATGAATAAATTCTTTTGTAATTAATTTTTCTTCTGATTAAGCAAAAACTGCTTATGAAATTCTTTGCTGTCAAAGTTGTACAATTTAAAATAACAAAAACTTAAATGTATTTGTTGAATAACTTTATCATTCCATTACAAATTTATTAATATAATTTAAAATTTTTACTTTATAACAAGAATAAAATATTTTAAAATAGGAATAAGAAAAAAATTTATAGTGAATTATTCACAAATATTTAAAAATATTTTATCTTTATTTTTAAATTTTTTTTTAAATTAAAAGAAAATATTTCTATAAATATTTTACATAATGACCCCATCAAATACCTTTTTTTGTACCCATGTATCAAGTAGACAGTTACACAGCTATTATACAAGTACCCATACCTATTTAAGACTGTACAACGTAAAAAAAATCATAAATGAGCAAAATGGTTTTTAAAAACAAACGAGCAATTATTTATTGTGGCATTGTCACAATGCTGGGCTGCAATTTTTAATTTATTTAATTTAAAATATATGCGCTCCATCTCAAATTAGTAGTGGCTTGTCCCCTTACGTCAAACTTTTCCTTTAACAGAGTCATGCTGGTCATCTATTAACTGCTTTCAGGGAAAAATTTTTAAATTGAAATAATGTGACTTCCAGTTTGTACTGGAAGTTCATATGGTTAATCATGGCCTCCTGCCCTAAGGTTTTCACATCTGCTCTTAAATTTCATCTTTCTAATTCCATTCTCAAGATTAATTAATTAAGGAAAGACAGATGGATGAATGGATAGATGGAAAACAATGGGAATTTATACATCTACAATTTTTCAAATTGCAGCCCAATTACAGAAAATGTTTACAAATCTATTTAGCTGTTTTTAATCAAACATTCTCTCTAATGAATTATCATTTAAGTTTTAGAAGATCAATTTTGCAAATTAAAATCTTTAATTAGAAAAATGTATATCCTCTTAGAATCACCGAATTATTAAAATAAGATATTTTACTAAATAGAAATTTATCCTGTTATTATTCCACAACTGTAAGATCCAGTTCAGACAAGCAAAACTTCTGCAGAATGGCAGCCACACTGCATTATTTTTTCTGCGGGCACTCTGGACAGAAGATGGCTGAATTTGTTTTGAGTTGGCCAATCATCATGAATGCTTGTTACTCTGCAGTAGTAGTGTTCTTAGGACTTCAATTCTTAAAAGAAAGAAAGAAAAAGAAAAATAGAAGGTATTGGATACATCTAATGGTGAGCAGTCATTTATTACAAGAAACTTTTTATTTGTTGTTTAATGAGCTTTGAGGAGGAATCAAAATTATTTAATTACTCCAGATTGTTATTTCCAAACTTTGATGAATTGTATTACATTCTGAAAAATACCATGAACAAAGAAGATAGTAACATGAGACAGCTAGTAAATGATATTTCAATTATGCCCTCTCTGCACAACTTTTGCTTCTGCTCATTTAAATTATTTGATACTATGCAATAGCCCATAACCAATCTGTGGCTGCTGCATGGCATCCATTCTGCTACAAGTAATACGGCTGGAATCCGGTAACATTCCCACAGCTATAGACTTTCTCAGGCAATTGCAGAGAGCATTTAGACACTGACAGCGGTTTAGAGATCGGGTAGACCGCGGTTCCGAAAAATTTCATTGCAGAGACGGCATTTCTTGCTTTCCACAGTTTAGACAGTGATTAGTAACTGACTAAAACCAAACCTGAGTCATTCTAAGCAAGACTTTCTCGGCCTCCCATCCATCATGGAGATCCAGTCACATTCCTATGTGGTTGTGTGTGTTGGCTCCTACTTTGGATTACTACATTGGTGTTTTATCAGTGTAATTGTGAGTTTTATGTCTTTCTGTTCACAGAAGTCACAAGGACTATTTTGACGTCTTGTTTGTCTAATTTCGTCCATAATTTATGAAGTTAAGGCCATTTATCATGTGGTCCATGGCCGGCAGTTTCCAGTTGTGTTTTCTTATTAATGGATTAATTTAATTTTCTTTAGTTAAGCATTGTGGATAGCAGTTATCATTAGAAATAGTTATGTTAATTTCTATTAATATCGGATTAATTTCTGTCATTCTACGGCGACCCAGAATTTCATGTTTTGTGGGCTTTGGGCAAGCTTTCACTGTGTTCTGCAAGCCAGCTGTTTAGGGCGATATACATCTAAATCTGTTCTGTCTATACTATAAACTGGTGGTCCTAGCTATTTTTTTAATCAAGTTATTAACAGTTTTCGTTAGTGGGTTAAACAAAGACCATTGTTCTCTCATATAACAGACTAATTTGGGGCCACTGCACTGGTTTATAACCCAACTGCTTGCCACTTCCATGTATCGTGTCAGCAGTTCTGTCTAGCAGTGCTGTATTGGTTCTGTATTGTGGTTATCCTATCTACGAAGATCTCAGCCCGCAGTCTGTGTTGTGGACCAAACTAAACTGTCAATTTTCAAACTCTTAGTATTCTAGATTGGTACGGACCGACTGATGTGGTGTTAAGTTATCATAATGGCCACAGACACAGAATCTCAAGTAGTTATTACTTCGCTAGAATATACTATAATTAACGAAGCTAACGATCATTTAATCAGAATTATAGACAGACCTTGTATCAGTAACATATAAGTCAAGCTTAAAAACAGAAGATCATACAGAGATTCGCAAAAGAGTGACACACATAGTCTCATGCATAGGGCAACTACAAGGAATTCTACGAAAAGTCAGAGCAGCGAAGAATCAACCAGTGCAAAGTGAGGAGAGCAAACCACATTTGCAGAGATGGTTAAAATTGGATCAAGGCTAAGCAAGACAACAGAAGCTATAACCAACTCGTTAATTACTAAGGTGAAAAATGAAGGAGCTGGAGGAAACTAAGCTGTTTTGGTGTATCCAAATGACGAGGATGGCTCAAATGTTAACACGAGTGAAGTAACTAACCAAATTATTAACAAGATAGAACCACATCAACTTCAAATAAAGGTAAAAACAGTCAGACCTGTCAAATCAAATGGCATCTGCATCAGAGTAGGAAGCAAGAATGACAGGAAAAAATTAAGGGAAGCAATGGAGAAGCTCCCAAAAATTAGAGACAAGATTAAGTGCAAAACATCGGAAGGAAGACGACCACAAGTCATTCTAGTAAACGTTCCAATCATCATCCTTGACAAAAAAATTTAGAAGTCATGACAGAACAGAATACAATCTGGAAGAACAGAACACGATCTGGAAAAACAGGGACAAAATATTGGTAAGAGAAACTTGCAGAATCAGCACAATACTAAAAGGTGAAAAAACAAAAGAAAATTGTTGAGATGTTCTTTCTGTTACTCCAGTTATTTGTAACATATTAATCACCCACAGACCTGTCAAATCAAACGTTATTGGCAAATATATACATAGACGATTTCATACCAGTCATATGCTGTTATCAGTGTTGTGGTTTTAATCATCTAACACATGACTGTGTAGACAATCAGAGGTACAGCCACTGTGGTAAGGGGCACCATTACAAAGAATGCCAGCTATTAGATACCACACTGTCCTGTATAAACTGCAGGAAAGTTACAAGGAAATTCCTCCAGACAAGAGAAGGCCAACAAACCACAATGCCTTCAGTAGCCATTGTCTGACGCTAATAAGGATAAAGTCTCAAACAGTGATCAGAACAGATTATGGGTGGTAATAATCAAACTTCAAATAGTACTCTGATAAACACTACCCATGGCAGTAATACAAGCAATTCCTACCACATCTCTGACACAGACCTCAACATTCTTCAAATTAATGCACAAAGGGAAAAGGTCCCATGCTCTCTAATGATACTTGAGGCAAATGAATTGCAGGTGGATATAATTCTATTGCAGGAGCCATATACAATAAATGCTGTGAGATTTGCCAACTAGCAATATTATATAATAGCCATGGTAAAACTCCTGAAGTGGAGAGAACAACAACAGAATGGACATTGCACTTATCCCTCACCTCTCTTTGCACATAATTACTACAGCCATTATTCAATATAACCCTCCCATCTATGTAATCAATGTGTACCTCTCACAGTGTATGAATGTTGAGGAAAGTGTGAATATAATTGAAAAGGTACTCAGGGAAACTGAGCACTATGTGATTGTAGCTGGTGACATTAATGCAAAATTGGCTATTTGGTTTAATAAACATGATGATAACAGAGGGCAATTAATAGCAAATATGACGGACGAATTTGGGTTTTGCAGAAGTTTGTTTAGACATTCAGAAACTGCAATTGTTGTCTTTGCAATGCATTTTAAACCATGGTTCAGCCAGCCAATGCCTGAATGCCGTTCGGCTGTTAAACGTCGTTTAATGCAAACTCTGTCTCTGCAATCGACCGTCTGTTTAATATGAGTTATTACATTTAAATTAGTATTCCATAACAATTGGTGGGGTTTAAGTTAGCATGTAATTCTGCAGACATTCCACTCATCTGAACTGGACCTAAAACTATATAAGCTTCAAAAAGTTGAAAAATTTTATAAACTAAAATAAAAACTGAAAAATGATAAATGGTAACAATAAAATTACAATTATATCTTTTTGCACATTGTTTAGACCAGTTCATTAATTAACACCTGCCCTCAAATTGAAAGTGTAAAGAGTAACTTGTAATGAGTTTGGAGAGTTAAAATATTTCAAAAAATTTTTTATGGATGTTAGATAATTAAGAGTACTACAGATTATTCTACTCAAATTCAAAATATTGTGTAACTAATACAGCATCTAAGAAATCTCAAAATGTGTTAAAATTTAATTATTGATATTACTATTAGGCCCTGTACACACTAGGCGTTTTTCAATGCGCGTTAAACACGCGCTTAACGCCGAGCTAACGCGCATTAGCTTGGCGTTCGACGAGCATTAGTTCGGCGTTTAGCACTGGCTCAGTTTGGAAATGGACGAGAAAGTAATTGATTGTGTGTGCTCCTCCATCGTCGCTATAAGGCAGCACATATATCTCAAAGCGCCCGTAAAGTGCCCGCAAAACGCGCGTTTTAACAAAAATCTATAAATGCGTGCTTGGCGTTTGAGTGTGTACGACTACATAGAACTCTTGGTTCTTTAAAACGCGTGTTAAACGCGCATTTAAAAGCGCGCGTTGAAAAACGCCTAGTGTGTACAGGGCCTTATAGTATAATATACTATGACTCAGCCTAATCTCTTTCAAAGTATTTTGCAACACTGCATTTTGTGAAAGTCCAAAACCCTTTTGTTTTAGAACAGTATCACCCCTCTAATAAACCTCGCGATTAGGTGAAAAGGAAAAAAGGGGCCTTCTGTGGTCGATGACCGAGACAATCTCCTCGAAAAAAATTGTTAGTATATCAATAAAAGAAATCTCCTCCATTTGTTTAAAGGTAATTCTATAGATGTTAATATCAACAAGATGGGAATAAGAGATGTTTCCTATCCCCTTTTTGGTTGCATGTGACACGTGGTTACAGCAATAAATCTCCTCATTCGTAGTCAAACGCGACGTTTAATATAAACAATATCTAGATTGTTGATCAGTTTACAGAAATGATTGTCAGCTGAATGTTAATTTATGGATGAGAGCCATCAAACCTATAGAAATTTATATTATAAAATCATATCTTCTAGACACTGATATCAATAAATTAAACTTCTCTGTGCCAGTGGTCCGTACTAGCTAGATCCAGACATCAACACACTAACAGGTGTGTGTATAAATCATTAATGATGTCATAGTTCTCACCCACCTCAAAAATAGTATAAAGAGGGCTTGGACACAGTCCACAAGGCGGACACCTACAGGGCGGACATCGACTGCCACATCCCGCCACCCCATCCGTCACTACCTTGCCATAACTGCCGTCCGTCACTACCTGGATTGTCACAATCCAGGAACGTTTTTACCAACGACCCATATTACAGATCGGGAACTTAGAGGTAATTTTTTTAGATATCTATTTGTATACTCTCTCTCTCTGAGAAGTCTCTCTCCTAGAGGTCTCTCTCTCGTTTCCTAATTTAACTTAGAGAATAGAGATTAGATGTTCCATATGAAAGATGAATCATTGTCGCGACGTAGAATAGAATTTTTTTTTAGCTCTTCACCTTTGCTTTTGATATGTAGAATTTTATAGTTGTTTATTAAATGTGTTATTCTTGTTCAACCTGTGTATTTATTTGGGAACCTGTCAACTTACTCATTAACCTCCCCACTCATTTTATTTTGCCCTCCTACAAAGCCATCCTCTGACAGAGCTGCCAGTAAGTGGGCACAACTAACCCCCTTGGTTCTCACAGTTTTATACTTACAAGACAACTAACCTAAAACCTGCAATAAGAACATTCACTTTAAAACAGCAAACATTTTCTGCCATCTTAAATGAACATTGTCAGGCTAATGTTCAAAAATATAAAACATGTTCATAATGTTTGAAAATAGTTCATTCTAAAACATGCAGTTCCATTTTCAAACAGTTCTTACTGCTGGTTTTGGGTTATTGAGTTAGTTATCTTGTGAAGTTAACCAGTATCTGATAGATGTCATTTATAACACTTCACAAAAAACAAATAATAGGTTTCAAAATATTTTACATGTATTTTATTTTGAAAAAATTATTCCAAAAAGTAGAATATAATTTTAAAAATTATCTGTAACTCATTAGAAGTAAATTTCTGCACTAATCAGAAGAAGAAAAAAATTTAAAAAAACAGCATGATCAAGATTTATTCACTCTAATTTTGAGTAATTTTAAAATCATACAATCTTATAATGTATAAAAACAATAAATCTTATTATAAACCTAAAAATTAACTCACTAGAAATGTTGATATGAGGGGTTAAAAAAAAAAAACATCATGAATGGTACTTGCATTTATTTATATACATATGCTGTTTTTTTTCAAGCTCTGATGATCCATGAAAAAAAAAATAAAACAATTGTAAATAACAAAATGAATTTATTACCAAAAGTTAGATACAAACATGGTTACTTTTTGACATAATCACCGCGAAGATTGAGAAATTTGTCATACCTGTAGATGAGCTTTTCCATCCCCTTGTCATAGAATGTTGCTGCCAATAACTTGAGATGAGCCCTAACATTTTTTTTGAAGATCATCTTTAGTCTTGAACCTCTGCCCTCCTAGCCACTTTTCCTGTTCAAGAAAAAGGTGGAAGTAGCTTGTAGCTTGGCACTAAATCAGGACTATGCTGGGTGTTTAAAGGTGATGAAAACTTCTACCTTTCAGACTTCCATCCAGCTTAAAACTTTTTAATGTGTGAAGACTTCCACCTCTTTCTTGAACTGAAAACATGGCTAGCAGGGCAGAGGTTTGAGACTAATGACAATCTTCAAAACAACATTGTTACGGTCATCTCGATTCACAGCCAGCAACGTTCTATGACAAAGAGATAGAAAAGCTCGTCCACAGATGACAAATTCCTCAATCTTCATAGTGATTATGTCGAAAAGTAACCATGTTTGTACCTAACTTTTGGTAATAAATTCATTTTGTTATTTATACTTGTTTTTGTTTTAAGGATCATCGGAGCTTGAAAAAAACAAACCATCCTCATATATACTACACAAGTAACTTTCAGTTGACTTTAAAGAATTTTTCTTGTATGATCCATGTAATTTTTGTTACACATTTTATTTAATGTTACCTTTTTATGGCAATAAATTGGTTCTCTATACTTGACATAAATATAATTTAAAATGGTTATTAAACATTTCAGCATAAATGTGGAATTTTTATATATCATAAAAACTGAAGAAACTTAAATAAAAAAATTTTCATTCTACTCAATATAACTTTTACTTATTAACTACGTAATCTGACAAGACCATTAAAGCAACAAAGTCTAAAAGGATGGTTGTAGTATCAACAATTGAAATTAAAAAAGACCTTATTGTGAAACATGAAAGTGATACGCATGTGGTAGATCTGGAGGCCATGTTTAAGATGCTGAAGTCTACAGTGTGTGACTAGTAAATATAATTTTCACTTCATTATATATTATTTATATATATTATTTATTGCTTTCAAGTTTTAACTTCTTATTAGAGCATATAATTGTCTGATTTTTACATTAAATAATGTGTATTTGCAGTTTTAAGTTTATCAAAATGGGTCAGGTGATGAATTAAGACTTTCCATTATTTCTTGTTTTCATTATTAATTAAGCTAATTTCATTTAATTATGAAGTATTATTAAGCTTCAGATGTTGAAAGATTTGAAATCTGAGCCACCTCCTAGAATGAATTAAGTACAAAATACGATGCTCCACTCTAACTGTCACTTAATGATTTAAATGATTAATCAGCGGAAAAGCCAATTACTACAATTAATAATAAGCCAACAATTAATCAATACATCTTTAGCAAAAGGGAAACAAAATTCAAAACATATATTCTTCATCCTTTTATGAGATGTTCATCCTTTCATTATCCACAATCAAATAAATAGACACCAATGTAAACAAATTTCAGTATTCAATAATGGCTACAATTAGTTTCAAGACTTCCCAATTTGTCATTTCTTCCTGTGAATATATATGTATATAATCTATTAAATAATTATAAATATCTGTCTTTCTATCTTAGGTCACATCCACATCCAAGGATTAAATCCATTTCTCTGTACATATTTTGTAAAATGATGTGAATAGTCATTCAGATTACAGATTTGAAGTTTTAAATATACCATATTTACTCACATATAAGACGAGGTTTTTTTATTCATTTTTCATTGCTTCAAAAACCTAGGTCTTCACTTGCTTGTATAAGATGCTATAATATAAAGAATTCTTCACTTGCTTGTATAGGATGCTATACAAGCAAGTGAAGAATTCTTTGCATTTATGCAATAATTTTTGTGAACTGTGTGTGTGCATTTTTTACCGGATGCTCACACTCTGGTGTTTAAAAACAAAATATTTTATCTGGGTCATTTCAATTGTTCTTGTGTATTGTCAGGAGTAAAGATGAATAGCAATAGAAAAAGCTTTTGAATTGAATTCCAATTTAAAATTCCAAAATCACACGGAAGCTCAATATAAGTTTTTATCCATTCCCATGTGAAAATAGATGATTATTTGGAAATAATTTGGATAAACTTGTAAGTGTAATCAACGGAGAGTGGATTCGACTGTTAAGAATTGGCAAAAAAAGGTTCGCAATTGTCCAGCTTCACATGAACAAAAATTATGTTGTCAATTTTACAAGATTTTTCCTTAAAGTTTAAAATGCCTAAAAGTTTAAAAAGTTTAAAGTAATTTTTGCAGACAATGTGTGCATTTACGTTCATTTGATATTTTATTTGTGATTAAACAAAATAAAATTAGAATTCTATTAATAAATCAAATTTTCTTTATTTTGATGTTTAAAGTCACACCTCATCCTATATGCAAGGTCATCTTATATGCAAGTAAATATGGTATTTCTTTTTTACCTTCATACAATAATTATGATATATAATTGTATATTGCAAATGGAAATTAATCTAATCTACCTTTTCATCATTTTTTCAAGAAAATGTAAATCAATGGTGAGTACTAGTAGTAGTCAAACAATTAGATTATAAAAATGTATATGTTGTCAAGCATTTCCTGAAATATGGCAGCTACATAATCAAGTTCTGCAAATATGCCTACAAACACTAACAGTCAATTGCAGATACAACATTTAAATGATGATGGCATTCATTTTTTTTCATTCATTTTAATTTATTAGGTA